TACCAGCAATAAAAATCTTGTCGACATTAAATAACCCATTGAGGTTGATATGCCGTAAAACAAACCAGACCAAACATTTACGATTAACTTGTCTCGCTTTCACTAGTTTACACGGACAAATGGATAAGCAAAGTAATAAGTACATTCACACCGACATCTTTGAAAAATAAGTAGACATAATCGATGACCATCATCGATTTTTGGTTTTATCGAAATAAAGTTGTGGTGAAAGACAAACGGTTAGATTTAAAACACGTTTTATTTTTGGCCGAATAAAATTGTTTCGTTCAATGTGAGAAATCTGATAAAATGTTTGATTAGATATTTTCTTTGTTAGAAGATTGACACACCTTCATACAGAGGCGAAGAGAAAATAAATCGTCGCGCTTCCTTCTTTCAGGCACTTCATTAGACATATATATCTATCCATACTGATGGCACATGGTGGCTGCGGTGGTCAGGTGTTTGGGACCGGTGTCTACGGTTAAAGTTCAAGAGCAGATAACAGCAAATGTAGACATTTTTTTAAAAAACTAAAAATAATCTGAAAATTGGCGCAATACAAACTTTCTACACTCATTGGCCAATATATTCCTGAACTAGATAAATTAGTTAACGTACGTGATCTATCTTAGTTCCTATATATATATTTTGGCTCCTATCTATCTATTTATCTATCTATCTATCTTAGTTCATATATGTCGGAGTTAGCTCCTCCTTAGCTCCTTAACCCTTTCATCAGGGGTCTCTCTTCCCTGGCTATAAATACTCGCTGACCCTTCACCTCTTTTTCCCTCAGGCCTTTGGGCCGCCACCTTGAGGTAAATCTCTTTTTTGCCTCAGGCTTTCAGCCTTACCACTTCGCAGATGTAAACACTCACAGATACAGCGTTTCCTAAATGCTGGGAACACGCTAAGAACAATACACGTACGTACGAACACACAACCCAACACAACACAACACAACACACACACACACACGCACATAATATTCACCACACGCACTCTGTCCATGTAACTGTCCATGTAACTTGTAACCTTTCTTGTTATTAATACATATATTTGTTTACATATATTTATCGGTCTTGTGTTTGTTTTTCTTTGCCTTCTTTGGACTTAATTAAAGTCCAACTTTCTCATGTAGTTGGATCGGCTAGCAGGAAAATCTTAACTCACACATGTTCATCTACTTCTACTTAACATCGCCGACACGGTCCCTCACACACACACACACACACACACACATATATATATATATATATATATATATATATCTTCACTATCTGATTATATTCATATTTATCTCATATTCCTATATATCATAATCTGTTCCTATCTATCTATCTATCTATCCTACAAAAGCTAACCATCAGGATCTAATAGATAAGCCTTTTTCCCGTTCAGACAGGCACCCAAGTTTAAGGAATGCGAGTTCAAGACTCGATATAATTTTCTTCTTTTCTTTTTAATGCTGCTTTGTTAACAGTCGTAGAATGTAAAACGACCTGAGCGTTGAGATAACAAGCAACAAAAAAATAAGATGAAAGAAAACTATACAATAAGCAATAATAATGGCAATAATATATGACTTATATTATAAAAACTAATCAATGATAAACAAATCAATTAATTTACGTCACTTAGCACCAGTATAGTCTCCTATTCTTTCCTTGACGTCGAGGCTGTTTCGTATATTTTTAATGCTCTTCAATTAAAGTTTAACGTAAAACGTTATTTTTTTTTTCAACTGTAATTTTTCTATTTATATAAATAGAGGTTTCTCGATAAATTCCTCGACTTTTCTTTGATAAATTTCCTTAACGACCGAAACGCGCCGGCATAAAGGATTTTCTTCTTGTCAATATTCTAATGAACAATGACAATGTTTAATCGAAAAGAAATCAAGCAACTTATGTCTTGTCATAAACGGGAAAATCATTTTTTTTTTTACGTTTTTCAATTTAAAAACATGGCCGATAAGCTTGTGAAGGTAGCATAACGGTTATTGACGCAAGAAGTGCAATTAGCGATACGTGTCCAAATTCGGGCCTGGTCTTTTGTTGTTTTTTTTTTTTACTTTCCCCCAAATACCGTTTAATCATTTAAAATTCGTCTGTATATATATATATGTATCTATATATCTATCTACCAATATCCAGAAAGAGGCTTACACAGTAGCGTCTTTTAAAAAAATTTTGAATTTGATGTAACTACAAAACATTTCGCTATTATTTATCATGTGCAATGATAAAGTCGAATGACGAAACGCGTCGGCAAGGACTAAGAACTATTTTCCAATTGTCTTTTTTATACAATTTGTCTTATCTTTAGAATTATTCTGAGAAATTTAACAATATATATATATATATAGTCATCCACAGACAGACTGTTTCGCTGTATCTCAGCTCTTCAGTGTGGATATATATGGATAAAAAATACAATTGGTAAAATAGTTCTTAGTCCTTGCTGACGTGTCATCGGACTTAAAGATCACCTTTGGCAGACTTTAAGTTTTGCTTTAAAAAAGATAGGTGTCTAATTATAGATAAGCTTTGCTTTCTCACACTTTCAGGTGGCTCAGGTACAAAAATATAAGACACTTAAGATCAGAAAGAAGCATTTAGGACATATGATGAAGAAAGAGAGCTTAGAAAATTTGACACTTACAAGACAGATTGAAGGTAAGAAAATCAAAGGGAAGTAGTAAATAACTTTGACTTTGTGTAAACCTTAATGCCTATTGTATAATATATATATATATATTATACAATAGGAATTAAGATTTGATGTAACTACACAACATTTCGCTTTCATTTATTGTCACTTGTCTTGAGAAAAACGAATGACGAAACGCGTCGGCAAGGACTTAGAACTATTTTCCAATTGTCTTTTTCATACAATTTGTCTTATCTTTAGAATTATTCTGAAAATTTAATATATATATATATATATATATATATATATATATATATATATATATATATATATATATATATACTAGCAGTATAACCCATCTTCGAGCAGGTGTTTCATTAATGGGAATTTTTCCGTTCAATTGGAGCAGTTTAAGTTTAATCAACCCACCCGAAAAGCAATATTAGTAACAACAATTGGGTGCAACTAAGGCACATCCCCGAATTGGGGGGGGGGTAACAATTTGAATGGAGAGGTGACGCTGAAAAGGGCCGTTTTTGCGTTCTCAATCTTGCAAGGAAGGAACCTCTTCCATGAACCGTCATAATAATAATATACAATAATTTTTATTTATAATATAATATTTTCTTTATAATTCTAATAATCTTTTGCGTTAGATTTCAACTCTCTAAACTACTTGTACGCTGTTTTTTTACAGACATTAAATTTTGCCTTTGAGTTTTACACAAAGTGTAACAAATCGTTTTTTTTCTTTCGATTTTCCACCTTCAAGGTTGTAATTTTTACAGCCAATTTGGACTTAAAACCGCCACTGAAGAATTATCTTTCAAACAAACAAAATTTCATCGAAATCGGATGAAAACTGTGGAAACACATAAACAACAGCCGATTACACACAGACACACACACATACATTTTGAGAATTATAGATATAGATAATATTATTGTAATAATTTAAAGTATTTATTTTTTATTAAAGTTTTTATGAAAAATATATATCCAAGAACACATAGTAAATAGTAAAACGTTACTGAGAGTTATAATAGACAGGAAGTAGTGGAGAGACATTGTCACCAAAAATTTGGACTCAAAACCGGCACTGAAGATTTCATCGAAATCGGATGAAAACTGTGGAAAAGGATAAACAACATCCGATTACACACACATACATACACACATTTTGAGAATTATATATATATATATATATATATATATATATATATATATATATATATATTAGAGCCGTTGTTTATAACACTATAAAAATATATATCTTACTAATGTGTCATGCACGTATGCGCACGATGACATCACTTCCGGGTTTTTTTCTAATAATCAATTTTTCGATTAAAAAAAATTACATATTTGTAAAATATCATTTTGAACATTGTTTTCAGTGCGATTGGATATGTCCCTTGCATGACGATTGTTATTCATCTACTTGACATTCGATCTCTTTTCGATATCCCACCCATGTTGCCGATCACTCATAGGCTCGAGGGCGGTGGGTATTACTTGAGTAACTTCTTGGCAATTGCTTGATCGATAATTTGAAACGAGACAGACAGGGGGGGGGAAATTATGCAAAAAACGAATTCTGTGAGTGTGAGATGACCAGAAAGTAAAAGTCATGTGTCAGGGCTTCCGCCTGAGGAGACTGAGGTGAATTTAATATTTGGACATGTCATTCGGCGCGAACCAAATTTCAGTGTTCCTGACTTGGCAAGTGAGCTGTCGGTTGTGGAGTCAGGTCCTTGGTTTGGGTTAGGGGTAGAGTTCGCGCTAGCGACTGTGATATCGGAATCGATTCCATATTGGAAATATCTCTCTTTGTCTTGCGCTTCAATATTTCGATTATCTTCTGGTGGTTGCAGCGACCTCTGGTGATGAGAAAGAGGCGATACCGTTTCGGTCTTATGAATGTTATCAATGTCTTCACTGTTTCTGTCTTTTCTATCGGCTCGCTCTGTTTCTTCTTCCTCGTCCTCTTCTAACACTGATTCCTCCGCGTTCATCTCTTTCTTCTTCGGTTTCTCACCACTGTTCTTTTCTTTTATCTCCCCCTCCATGTATAATCCTGATGTTTTCTCACGTATTAGGTCCCCTGTCTCTTTCTTTCCAGTGTTTTCTGTTTTCACTTTCTTTGAAGAGTTGATGCTAGCTTCTTCTTCACTTTCTTCTTCTTCTTCTTTTTCTTCCTCTGTCTCTTCATTTCTTTGCTTCCCTTGAGTGAATTCCACCATATAAGACGCAGACTTATTGCTGGACTGTTTCAAAGAATAAGAATTCTTTTTCGGGAAACAGGTCGATATTTTGTCCTGGAGAAAAATAAAATTATAGTAAAATCAGAAAATGCAAAATAGGAAAAGAAAAGTAAAAATAGAAAAAAATAAAGACAAGAAAAAAGAAAAATTAAAGAAGAAAAGAAAATTAGAAAAAATAAAGAAAAAAAGGAAAGAAAAACAAAATGAAAAATAAATGCTAAAAAAGTAAAGGAGAAAAGAAATTTTAAAAGAAAAAGAAAGATGAGAAAAAATAAAATAAAAATACGAAAAAAAAGAACTAAAGAAGAAAATACAAACAGAAAAAGAAAAGAAGAAAAAATATAATGAAAAAAAATGAAAATAAAAGCTAAAAAAAATGAAAAAAAAAACGTGAAAGGGAAAAGTAAACGAGAAACGAAAAATAAGAAAAAAAAAACATAACAAAAGAGAAACTAAAATGAAAAAGAAGAAAGAAAAACGGAAAAAGAAAAGTAGAAAAAAGATAAAGAAAAAAAAAAGAAAATGAAAAATAAAGACTAAAAAAGAAAATAAATGTAAAAGGGAAAAGAAAAAAAAGATAAGAAAAAAAAGCAAAAGTAAAACCAAAGAGAAGAAAAAAGATAAAAAATGAGGAGAAAAAGAAAATGAAAAACAAAAGCTCAAATAGAAAAGGAGAAAAGAGATGGAAGCGAAAAAAGTAAAAAGAAAAAGAAAAAAAAGAAAGAAAAAAGCAACAGAAGAAAAAAAAAAGGTAAATAAAAAATCAAAACGTAAAAAGAAAAGTAGAGAAAATAAAAATAAAAATGAACAACAAATGCTAAAAAATGATAAAGAAAAAACAACAACAACGAAACAGGAAAAAGAATAGAAAAAAGATAAAAGAAAAAATTCATGAAATTAATACAAAATAAGTACATAAAATATCATTCCATTCATTTTCGATTTCTGTTTGTGCTGGGGTACGTTCAACAATGGAACGGTAGGTGAAATATGACAACGACAAGAAAAAAAGAAAAGAAAAGAGAAGAAAAGAAAAGAAAAGAAAAGAAAACACGAATCCTATTTTCCATCTCCCGGGTATTTTATTCATTTAATCACCTAGCATTGTCTGGCGGATAGGTAAGTGAAACGTGGGATAGCTTCGCTGTTACTTCTGCCTTCTCTCACGACAGACTAACGGACCATATCTTCCATTCGGCTTGTGAGAACACTGTCTGCCTTTCTACGCATCTCTGACTGCAACTTTCACTGTCACTGCTCATCTCTATATATCCGTCTGCAACAGCACTCTCTCCAGCTGCACCCGTGACTCTGACACTGTATCTCGATGAATGGCTCATTACTCGTTATTCTAGGATGCAGCCTGACATAATAAGCTCACGACCAAAGTTCCCTGATTACCAAGAGGCTCTGGATCTCAACGTTATTTATTTAACATAATTCATTTCCTTTTCCCTACTTTTGCATAGTGGATGATTGCTTTAATGATCTAAATATCTCAATTTTAATGCCGGTTGTCATAAAACTGCTGATGCTTCTGGCCTAGATAGAATTATTTATAGTCCACTTGTCTATGTGGGTAGAAAGCCAGAGATTGCTCTAATGATCTAAATATCTCAATTTTAATGCCGGTTGTCATAAAACTGCTGATGCTTCTCTCCTAGATAAAATTATTTATAGTCCACTTGTCTATGTGGGTAGAAAGCCAGAGATTGCTTTAATGATCTAACATCTCAATTTTAATGCCGATTGTCATAAAACTGCTGATGCTTCTGGCCTAGATAAAATTATTTATAGTCCACTTGTCTATGTGTATAGAAAGCCAGAGATTGCTTTAAAGATCTAACATTTCAATTTTAATGGCGATTGTCATAAAACTGCTGATGCTTCTGGCCTAGATAAAATTATTTATAGTCCACTTGTCTATGTGGATAGAAAGCCAGAGATTGCTTTAAAGATCTAACATCTCAATTTTAATGCCGGTTGTCATAAACTGCTGATGCTTCTGGCCTAGATAGATAGTCCACTTGTCTATGTGGGAAAACCAGAGATTGCTCTAAGATAAAAAATTTTAATTTATAAAAGTCCTCTTGATAAAATTATTTATAGTCCACTTGTATGGGTAGAAAGCCAGAGATTGCTTTAAAGATCTAACATTTCAATTTTAATGGCGATTTTCATAAAACTGCTGATGCTTCTGGCCTAGATAAAATTATTTATAGTCCACTTGTCTATGTGGGTAGAAAGCCAGAGATTGCTTTAATGATCTAAATTTCAATTTTAATGCCGGTTTTTCATAAACTGCTGATGCTTCTGGCCTAGATAAAATTATTTATAGTCCACTTGTCTATGTGGGTAGAAAGCCAGAGATTGCTTTAATGATCTAAATTTCAATTTTAATGCCGGTTGTCATAAAACTGCTGATGCTTCTGGCCTAGATAAAATTATTTATAGTCCACTTGTCTATGTGTATAGAAAGCCAGAGATTGCTTTAAAGATCTAACATCTCAATTTTAATGCCGGTTGTCATAAAAACTGGCCTAGATAAAATTATTTATAGTCCACTTGTCTGGCCAGAGATTGCTTTAAAGATAACAAATTTTAATTTCATAAATCTGCTGATGTGGCCTAGATAAAATTATTTATCTATGTGGATAGAAAGCCAGAGAAATATTTTGATCACTGAATGGTGATGCCATGAATGCAGAAAACTTTAACATCAACTTTATACTAGATTGTTTATTTTTGCATTATAACTTACAGTAAATTATTTATTATTTGACCAAACCTACATCGTTTATATTTATTTAGCTTTTGATGACTCTATATTTAAATATTTAAAGGGGTCTAACTTTACACTTGGTCAGACGGAAAGTTCTTCAATCTTTCCAGGGTCAGCATTAAATCCAAAGTTAAAGTGAAATGGCTACGTGGTTCTAGTGATTATATCGACGATAATACGCCAGGATACAAATCCAAGTTTATGGAATGCTAAGCCAAGTGCGCCCAGACAAACTTGGTGACAGCTTTTGAAGAGAAAGAAGCAAGACATATACCATTTAAATATATTTAACATTCAAAGAGAAAAATGAAATGAAAAAAAAGAAGTGCGCTTGCAGACAATGATCGTCAACGGAATTAACTTAGGAGAAATAGAGGTATAGTCATTGGTCTTTTCTTTTAACATTCAGTGACTCCGTCTTATTCTATGCTTGATGAATCACATTTCCTGATCGATTATTTGCAATATTATTGCCTCTTTACAGCACTTGTCACCCACTCAATTGGAGATCTTTAGCATTTCATAAACCGCTTCGTCGAAACTTGCCGTGACTACATCAGTTTCAAGAAAACAGTTCACAGGGCAGAACTGATATCAAATTTCAGGAGAGTAACTAAGTGTACTTTCTCGTTCTAACATTTTTCATCTATATGAATTGGAATGATTACACCGAGTCAATTGCTACGTCTGCTACAAGGAAATTTGATTCACCTGGCCGTGCGAGGCCATTTTTCTCGCCTGAAGCAGTCTTGCACGTTTATAAGTCTACCATTCGTCCGTGCATTGAATATTGCTATCAAATCTGGCCTGTACATGCTATGTATTTTGAGATTCTGGACAGAATCGAAAGAAAAAATATTATCGGTCCTGAACTGACATATCGGTTTTGATCACTTTCCAGTAAAGTAGCTTCGCTCTGCCTTTTCTACAAATATTTTCGTGGCAACTCTTCTGATGAGCTTTCCTCTTTGGCATCTCGACTTCATGAATTTAGGCGTAGTACTAGATTGGCAGCTAGGTTGGCAAGGAAATTTGGTTCGCCTTGCCGTGTGAGGCCATTTTTCTCGCCTGAATCTATCTTGTCCGTTTATAAGTCTACCATTCGTCCGTGCATTGAATATTGCTACCAAATCTGACCTGGTGCTTTTGCTATGTATTTTGAGATTCTGGACAGAATCGAAAGAAAAATCTGCAATATTATCCGTTCTGAACTAACATATCGGTTTCAATCACTTTCCAATGCCATAAAGTAGCTTCGCTGTGCCTTTTCTACATATATTTTCGTGGCAACTCTTCTGATGAGCTTTCCCCTTTGGCATATCGACTTCATGAATTTAAGCGTAGTACTAGATTGGCAGCTAGGTCTCATCATTTTACTGTTGAAACTGCTAGATGTAACCATAAGTTCTATTCTGATAGCTGCTTCTCTCGCACTCCACGCCTTTGAATTCTCTTCCAGCTCCTTGCTATCCCGTCCACTACAACTTCAAAAATGTAAATATAACCACAATCGTAATCGTCTGTCTCATTGAATTCTGATCTTTCTATTGTGCTTTCTCGTCAGTAACTTTTACAGCTTTCTTCCCTCTATTGCCTTTCAACCTCTGTAATCCCTTGGTAGTGTCTTCATCGCATTGTTTGGGACGAAATGATTTTAAAGAGTGTACATGGATTGCCCACCTAACATCAGAATCTCTGATCACGGTTTGAAAATTGTCTAGGACTTGAGTTCAACGATCTCAGATTCCCTTCCTCCCGACACTAAGTTAAACAAGTGTATTGGTAAAAGTGATTACCACCATCTCCAGACTGACATAAACAATATGGAACAGTAGCAATCTAGCAGAACATACCAACGCCCTTGTCCACAAAGCTTGTGTCGTGAGCATCCTCTTTTACTGCAGTGAATCTTCGACTGCATGCTGGACAGGAACAGAAGTTCAACGCCTTCAGTATTCGCTACTCTCGGCACATTTCTTGGCGAGAACGAACAAAGTCGTTTTCTAGAAGACTTGGATTTCCAGCATGTACACCCTTTTAAATCAAAGGCACTTGCGTTAGCTCGGGCAAGTTGTGTGACAAAGATCTCTGTAAAAGACATCTGTGGACCCTAGGCATCAACCTAGACACGTGAGGACCTGAAGGCTTCGAACGATCATTCTGGAGGCAGCAAGTTCAGAAAAGCTCTTTAGGTTCGAAGCGTCTAATAGAATGGAAAAGACAAAGGACAGAAGTCCGATGTCTGGAAGAAATTGCCATTCTCGAAAGGTAATCAGACGTTTCCCTACAATGTAACACTTGAAATTCATTAACAGAGCAGGCAGTATTGTTTTTGGTTGAATTTTATAAAATCTTTCCATTAAAATCTTTCCAGTAGCTGTTATCGTTCTTTCCAGTGTCGATGGGGGGTTTCTTTTTTACCTCTTTGTTTGAAGTAGTGTGAAATACCAACATCTTGATTTTATGTCATTATTTTTCCTTTAAGTTACATGTGCTATGCATTTTAGTTGTTGCTGCTATTGGTAGTCCTCAAACGATGTGGTTTCTGTTATTTGGTACAGTTCTTTGTTTGTGGATCGGTATCACCTGTGTAAAATATTCAAAGAAGGGTGATCTTTGCCATGACCTTCAGACTTCATTCGCTCAAATCCATTTTTTAAGCATTGTATTTAGAAAGATGTTGTACACGGCTAACTGTTCAGATAACCCATAAACGATGGATGCTCCGTCTGAAATATTAATCAGTGCTCTACCCTATAGTCTCTTGAGACTGACGGGCACCTGATGAGTTAAAGATTTGTCTCGACTTTATTCGATGTAATTCAAAAGGTTAAACAAGAGGATTTTTTTTTACAAAATTTTGTATTTAACTGAGTAACACGAGCGTACGTTGAAACGTTCTCAGTCTAACCAGGTGTTTCTCTAAAAAATCTGATATTTGATCAGATTTTACGAAATGGGCCGTGCCGAGAAATTTTCAGCACCCCCTCGTAATGAAATGTTTACAAAGACGCGAAAATAGAATCTTTTGGCCATCAAAAATAGCCTGTCAGTTATTATAGTTATAGATTTCAGTTTCTTGGCACAAAGAGAAACGTGAATGCTACCAGTAAAACTTATACTCCGTCTCTTTCAGTTTTCCAACCCTATAAGTTACAGTGTTTCCGATAAAAAGCACTGTGTAAATTGTTCCTTATTGACATGATATGCATTCTTTAGATTATTTAGATGCTTGAAGATTATCGACATCTGCTTTTTTTTTTAGGAAGATTATCTTTTAAAACTATATTTAAAAAACCAAGCTAAAATATTTCATATTTTTTAAAAAATTCTTTTGCTGATCAAATGAAAAGCATAGGAAATGTGTTGACAGTTCCTGTAACAATAAGGGAAAAAGTATTTTTCTTATATTTTTTTAAAATTTATTATTATTATTATTATTATTATTATTATTATTTGTCACTGCGAATATTGCAAAGCGATTTTAAATCTATTATTACTTTTATTTCTTTCACTATCGTAAAAATGATGGCAGCGTCAAGTTGTTTTATCTAGTGAATATTAATACAAAAGATAGCGGAAGAGAAAAAAAAAACATGGAGGCTAGGATTTGGCGAAGGAAACTGATATGACACGCATGCGTGCATATTCCGATGTCACATTGTTGCAGAGTCGACATTTTGAAATGAAAGGATTGCATTCTAAAATGGCTGACGTTGTTGAGGCATCTTTTTCGTAAAACATGTCAAATTTGATAAGTGCATTTATTGCCAATTTGAATCTCTTTTACGAAACCTTCGACGGAATCAATCATCAGAAGACATCTTCCAGCATCATAAACAAAGAACTGTACCAAATAAAAGATACCGCATTACTTGAGGACTTTCAGCAGCAAACAACTAAAATGTATAACACATGTAACACGAAGAGAAGATAATGACTTTATACGCCCTAGAAATTACAATTGTTTCTTCCTGGTGTTAAATGTACTTTTTGTTTCCAATTTTGTTAAAAACTTCGTTACGTTCAGTCCATGATATTCTCAGCATCCATCATTAGAACCACATTCTATGGTCTCAAGTCTCTTCTTCATCTTTGATGAGATCGTCAAACATTCACTACCACATAGGATGACCAATATTACATAACAGTTAAGTACTCTTGTTTTTGGTTCCAACGAGATTTTCCTGCTTCTTAATATTTTGCTTGTCTTTTGAAAGACATCTTTCGCTATCCCAATACAACTTCGAAATTCGGTGTTTCATTTTTCCATTCTCTGTTAAAATGCACCTTAGATATTTCAATTTTTGTACTTGATTTTATCATCTCCAGTTTGTAATTCGCATGTTTGGTGTTTCTTTTTGCTAGCAACCATACATTCTGTCTTCTTGCAATTTGATGTTTAGTCCTTTCTTCTCGCTTTCCTTTACTCCCTTCTGTAGAAGTTCTCTCCCTTTCTATGTCTGCTATCAACACTGTGACATTTGCATATCTAATGTTGCTAAGATGGTGGCCGCCAACAATGAATCCTAGTAGGAATTCTAATTCACTCAGAATTCTAAAGATTGAATAAGTCTGGTGAGAAGATGCACCTTTGTTTTACACCCCTTTCTATTTACAGTGGAGTAATGGATAGCGGCTCGAATTGAGGAATCGGAGAGCCGAGTTCGAATTCCAATTGAATCCATTACATTCACTTATGTGCTAATAACCTTGGTAGCCTCTTCTTCTCTATCTAGCTATGGGTAAATAGCAGGAAAGACCGGGCTTATAGCATTGGATGGCAACTGGTCTACCGCAGAAAAAAATGGCAACCTACTGTGGGAAAAAAAATCTGCCTCGTCAGTCATGCATCGAAAGATACGGTATCTAGCCACCCCCCACGAGGGTTGCATGTGGCACAAGGCCGAGTTTATCGTGGGTTTCCCGAGCCCGTAGGCATCGAAAGATACATGATTGCCTAAGCATGTAGCACGCATGGTACATAACTGAACTGATATTTACTGAATTCCTTTTTTATTCGCATGCAGGCTGCTTGCTCCCAGTATTTTTTACCGTAATATATTGTTAAAACGATGAGTATATATAATTTTACTTATTGGAATGATAGACTGTATTGGATGACGCATAAGATTCATAAGACATGGCTTTCCTGTAATTTTCTACAAATATTTTCATGGCAATTTTTCTGTTGAGTTTTTCTCCTTGGTGCCTTGACTGCATGAATTTAAGCGTGCTGCTCGATTGGCAATTGGGTCTCACCATTTTACTGTTAAACTAGGTAAATGCAACCGTATGCGCTATTCTAATAGTTTATTTTCTCGCACTTCTCAATTGTGGAACTCCTTTCCAATTTCTTACTTCCCAAGCCACATACATTCTTCAAAAATTTAAATGCAACGGCAATCGCCATCTTTTGCCTTCTTAATTGCTGTTCTTTTATTGTCCTTTCTCCTCACTTAAGTTTTCTCATTTGCTTTCACGCTTAGAAACCACTTACGCCTTAGTGGCATTAACACCTTGCTTGGGATGGAATAAAGAAATATTAGAAACATAGTGTATTTTATGATGCAGGAGAAATACCAGATGTCCTGAGTCGAATTTATAGGAACTTTTTGTTTTAAGAAAAGTTGATTTACAATATATACTGGGTTCACCCAAAGTAGACTTTTTCCCCAAAAAAGAGCCAGGAGCATCAGAGGGTTGACCTGGAAGATAACCTCATAGGTGCAGATTGTCGACTCAAATAATGTCAGTTTTGACATGTAATTATTTCCCCTCTACAAATCTTTAACAGACGCGACTTCGTTCACTCTCCATTTTCATGGCAAATACATCGCCTTCGGAAAGGTATGAATTTCAACTCAAAGGATGACAATGACTGCCCTCGACATGTAAATAGGTGATCTGTCCAGCTGAGCTTAGAATGTGCACACGTGGAACAACCGGATGACAGGAAGTTATATAAGCGCTCCACCCGAGAGGAAAAAACAATCTCTCTCATATCCTAGTGAGAAGATCCACGTTCGTTGAAACCTTCCAAGACCTCACATCCTATCGTCGATATTAACTGACGTAGTCCAGAATTGAATAAAAAAGAACTTTACGTATGACAGATTTAGTGTCGTGTTCTTATTAGTCCTTGCAAAGATTACGTTATCAAAGCAAGAAATAGTGGAGAACCATCATTTGAGAATATGCGAGAAATTAGAAAATTCGAGAAAGAAGAGGAACTACATAGCTTATCAACCATATCTGGGTTATTTAAACCTGAAATCTATTTTGGATTGGAATTTCTTTTCAAAATGAATATTGCGTTAACATTTTTTGAAAATAATAATAATTTTTCCAGATAAAAGTCATACTATTTAAGTCATACTTGGGAGGAGACTAACTATTAACTCTTAGAAGACAGAGAACATGGACGTCAGCAAAAGGAATAGCCAAATGTGAAAGTTACGACAGGAAAATATATAAGCGTCACACCCGAGAGGGGAAAGATAGAGAGTATCTCAAATCCTCGCGTGAAGGTAATCCACGTTCAAAAAAGCCCCAGGAGCTACGTACCCTTACGTCGATATTAATTGACAAAGTCCATAAGGGAATAACCATTAAGTTTACGCATGACAGATGTCTTGTGATCTTCTAAGTCTTTACAATGATAAAGTTTCAAAAGCAAGAAAGAGAGGAAATATTGGCCAGCCATAATTTGAGAATATCCGAGAAAGAAGGAAATTTGTGATAAATCAACTTGTTTTGAACTGGGACATATCGGAAACAGAGATATAATTCTATCTTCAAAAATTTAGATACAATGTCAATCGATATCTACTGTTTGCCTCTTCTTTTATTGTTTGCTCCTGTTTCCATTTTTTTTTTTTTTATTGTAACCCCTTTGTTTTAGTGGATTTCACTTTGATTAGGGGTTGGATGAAATGAATAAAGAAATAATAACATGCGATGGCACATTATTCAGTTTTTTGCTTTTAAAAAAATATTCACGCTAGAAAGGTTATTGAATGAGGAAACCAAAACGGAGGTTGGAAATTAAATGGTCATCTTTTATAACCTCCTTAGTGAAGTAGGTAAACCACTGCTTGTGTTGGACTACTTACCCAGCCACATTTTTATACAATAGACAACGTATTTATGAGGATTGAGACATACCTGATAGACTGATAGATAGATAGATAGATAGATAGATAGATAGATAGATAGATAGATAGATAGATAGATACTGTACTGTACTGATGCGGCATTCACCCTGGGCGGATTGAGCCGGCTTCTTCCTGAGAAGAAGTTAAATGAGACCCAGATAACGTTCTTGCTTGCCGCGGGGTTCCCTCAGACGCAGAGACAGGAACGACCAGAAGCCGCCGGTTACCGATGCAGACGCTCCTTGGATTTTCACCAGAGCCCTTGAAAGTCGGCGTGTGTGTCAGACCTGTCCGCCTTTGGTGGCCCTACCAGGAACGAAGTTCCGGGCGGCATAGCTCTGACACTACCGTTTACACCCCCCCCCACCGACTGTGAGGTAAGGGTTGGACTTTGTCCAAAGTCAAATAGATAGATAGATAGATAGATAGAGTAACTGTGTGTTGTAACATAGAAAAAGTTACTGAAAGAGGAATAACCAAAGCAGGGGTTTGAAATGAAATGGTAATCTTTATAACATCAACAAAATACAATACTCGCCAGCTGCATGAAATAGGTAAACCACTGCTAGTGGTGGACTACTTAGGCAGCATATTATCCGCCACTTACAATAGTTTCCAACGTATTCATGAGGATTGGTGCATACCTATTAGTATGTATATGTACGGTATATAACAAAGATTATTAAAGAAAGGCTCTTTATTTTATTTTCAACATTAACCTCTTCATTTCAAGAGTCAAGAATCATCTTTTCGTCTAATCTTCATAATCTTCACTTCCTTCCACCTTCTTTTCCATTTCTATCACACACCTTATACATCATTAACATTTTGGTTACAACCCTCTACCGTTGATAGCGACTTGGAATGAGAAATCAGAGAGCCGAGTTCGAATTCCAGTCGATTTCGTTACATTCACTTACGCGCAAATTGAACAGAAGTAGAGCTTTAAGCCCTGTTTTGCATTTGGTTTCCGGTCCCGTCTAAATATTTTTTCATTCTCTTTCACTCCCATTTGCCCCTTGCGTCTTAGTGGCATTATCGCCTTGCTTGGAAAGATTTGATAATAAAAACCCTTGGAAAAGGTATAAATCAATCTATTCTGTCAACGGCTATGGATTAAATAGTAGGACTTGTATCTGGAATAATCACTAGCTACGAAAAATTGTAAAGGCAATATTCACTCGCAAAAAATGAAATAATTATTTTTACACCCCCCAAAAATATGTTCCGGTTTTAAATAACTCACAAAGGTTAAATACGAAATAAGTCGTAAAAAGTAAATCAATCAACCAATAATAGACTCTACCACGAGTGACTCTCGAGCCTCGTATTTAGTAAAACTTAGTAAAAAAAATAATTAATGTGGCCTTGTACCAAAGACGCTTTATCCAATGAATATTAAGCCTGGGTAGGGTGTCTTATCATCAAATACAATATTTGATTAATGTATTTAAAAAAAAAGAAATCTTAATATTGGAAGAAATATTTAAAGGAATTGGAATTACTTGCGCCATTGCAACAAGTGTCGAAATCTGGGGAGACATTTTTCAATTACTTACCACGTATTCTAAGATTCCTTCCTGTAACTGACGCGTTCCTTCTCCAACCTGTTTTGTGATCTGTACATGGAGATTATGCAGTCTTTCATTGGCCCATAATATCTTCTGACCTTTCTCAAGATCTCGCCGGAAACGATCACGTACTAAATGACAGCTAGTCGATCGGCAAGGATTAATTCCCGCATTGGCAGTTGCTGGGAGCCTCGTTTTGAAATCTTCCATTGTTGGCGCGGCACGTTGAAACCCTGACATAAATCAATACATAGAAAGAAAACCGTAAGTTAATAAATTCAACCGAAGTGCGACTCGGCAGGTTAAAAAGAAAACAAAAACATTGAAATCATATTAGGTTGTTGCAAAAATATTGTCGTTTTTGACGTTCAACTTAACGTCAAAAAACGACAATATTTTTGCACCAACCTAATATCTATTGCGATTGTGCATATGTCTTGTAAGCTATTAAGTTTTTTTTTGTTTTTGTTTTTTTAATTCGCTTATGCCTGTGACATTGAGGTTTGCCACATAAAGTTTCTAGCGATGGAATCGCAGGAAGAATTTTACGCAACCAAAATGTCCTTTCTATCCGTGAAGATTTTTTTGAATGGCAAGCCTTCTTAGATCAACGTAGACGTACCCCAAGACTTTCTTCTCGACCCTACTCTCATTAAGTCTATGCAATCAATGTAGGCACACCTCAAGTTTCACTACTAATGTGGGCCCAAAGTTGGGACCACGGAAGTAAAACACGGAACACGGATTAGAGGTCAGAAAGATATATTAAACAGAAAAGTTACAAAGATAGTGTAAGTGTAAGCGGAGCTTACTATGTGCTAGTGCCCAATATTGGTAGTCGTACTACGGTATTAGAATACTCTCTCTCTCTCTCTCTCTCTCCTCCTCTTCTTCTTCTCTCTAGAGTGTTATGTCGCATACTTTATATAGTCCTGGAAGAGTCCATGTTATAGGTATGTTACGGTCTCACAATAACTACTCAGTCCTACCCTCATTCTATTTTATATTAACAATCTGCCTAAGAAAATTCGCTGATCGTTAGTAAATTTATAAGCAATTCATACCACAGCGTACGGCTGTACCTCCAAAAATCAAGATGACCAGAACCTGGCTGCTGATCTCTAATATGACTTTTATCTAACAGATCAATAGGGGGAAAACTAGCTTGTAACTTTCAATACATCAAAAACCATGTTGGTAACTTTTCCTCGTCACCGGGCTGACCCGAGATTCGCGCCAGTCAAGACGAATGGTTTCACTTTTAATGAGGCTCCTTGCTTTGAGCAACATTTGGGACTCGTGTTTACCCCAGGCCTCAAGTGGAAATCATATATACGGTCCATTGCTAAAGACGCTGGAAACAGGGTCGGTTCATTATACCGCTCCAGAAAGGTACCCGACTCCTCCTGTCATACACCATCTTTATAAGAGTCAGATCAGACCAAAGCATAGTATTGTTTCCATATCCTCTCTTTTCAGCCATGACAGCGTCGAAAAGCGTTTATACGGCCTTGCAGGCGATGGATTATTATACAATCTTCAAAAATTTAAAAGCAATGCCAATCGCCATCTTTGGCCTTTAAATTCCTTTTTTATTGTCCTTTCTCCTCACTTAAGTTTTCCCATTTGCTTTCACGCTCAGAAAACCCTGCGTCTTAGTGGCATTATCACCTTGCTTGGGGTGAAATAAAGAAATATTAGAAATTTGATAGTGTATTATATGATGCAGGCCAGGAAATACCAGATGTCCTGAGTCGAATTTAATGTTAATAAGGAACTTTTTGTTTTAAGAAGAGTTGATCTGTGGTGACCCCAATATATACTGGGTTCACCCAAAGTAGACTTTGTCCCCAAAAGAGCCAGGAGCATCAGAGGGTTGACCTGGAAGATAACCTCATAGGTGCAGATTGTCGACTCAAAGGATGTCAGTGACTGCCTCCGGCATGTAATTATTTTCCCGCTCTACAACTCCTCCCCAACAGACGCGACTTCGTCAGCCACTCGCTACTCTCCATTTTCATGGCAAATATTCTGAAGAGCTACATCGTCTTCGGAAAGATATGAATCCGTCTCCTCCCAAACCTATGGCTCAAAGAGTAGGGCTTGTATCTATATATAAAATTCTGTGACTACCGTCCGTCCGTCTCCAACACCCTCTAAAATAGCCATAGACCGAAGCCAAATTTGGTAAAGAAGTGCAAACATGTAAGGGGGGGGGTACAAAGTGCAGCTGGTTTTACTAGCGTGCGTAGCTCAGTACAGTAAATTTTCATTAATTTCTCTGGAAAAATTAAAAGTTTTGTTATTTAACATAAAAATACTCCTACAATTTTAACAACAATTTAATGATTAAAATTAAAAATACTTATCTAATAAAAATGCAATATTGTTTTTGTTTTTTTTTTTTGTTTTTGCATATCATTTCTTTAAGTTTTCATACAGACAATAATCCAGTTTCCAGTTCTTCCTGAGTTTGCGAGAACTATAAAGAAATCATACGGCCAAACGCTTCAAAAAAGAAAACAAATATTTACGCATGACCAGTTGGATGTTGCCTACTCAAGCGTTAGAAATCCTAAGAATTTATTTTTCGCTGTTAAAATGGAAAAAAGGTAAAAAAAGAAATTTTCTTTAAAATTATTGTTTACTACGAAGTCCTATAAAATTAAATCAAAGAAATGATTAAACCGCGAATTAGGGTTTTTGTAAAAGTATTTTCCTAAACAAAGCAGCTTATTCAAATTTCATCGATTGGTATGCGAAATTGAACGAAACGTACAGTTTATAAATCTCGACAAAAAATCATTATTTCATCGACTCCGTATCCTTTGCAACGTGTGCAGAGTTTTTTTCGCCCTCTGATCACCTCTGAGAACTTTTGGCGATGGTTTATTGCACAAACTGCCGATCCGTTGTTTGTCACTTTAGCCTTGTTTACGGATGGGACAACATTTAGAAGACATGGAATAACAAATTTAGACAACTAATATATATATATATATATATATATATATATATATATATATATATATATAAAAAGAAGAAAATAAAAATCCACATTTCAACCAAAAACGTTTGCGGTTTATCTTCTTTTTAAAATATACACTTTTCTCTCGTTCGAGGAACTATAATCTCTTCTCTTCTCTCTCTGTATATATATATATATATATATATATATATATATATATATATATATATATATATATATATATAACGAATAAAGTACAATTACAACATTCGTAACATTTAATTTAAAAGAGGGCTTTAATACAAAGTAGAGCAATTTTTTATTTTAAGATATTACACCGAAAAACATGTCAAAATCGATATACAACTGCAGTCGTGTTTCGGTGTGTATCAACGCATCTCATGAGGCAATTGTAAATTAATGGCGAGAGAACGATTTATTCAGATTTAAAAGCAAAATGCAGACTTTTTTTTGCGAAAAACGAAAAGCGGGCGTTACTAGGTTTGTGGGCTTTACTCAGATCAACCAATAGAATATGACCGACGTTAAATTTAAACAAAGGGAAGAAGCAAAAATTAAGAATGAAAATCATGGTAATACGTATGGATAATCCCAAGGAGGATGAAATCTAGAGAGCACAATGCTAAATCAGAGAGATTAATTCAAAGAAAAACAGACAACTTTAAGGGTCCATTGGTTATAATTTATTTCCCTAGGGAATTTCTTTTTTCTCTGGCTAATCAGACTAGACTTCCAAGAGTGAAAAAATGAATTTAAATTTGCATATAGTTTTTATACACTTTTGAGGAGTAGTTTTAAGTTGATGTATGGTGATATAGAGAGTGGACACACACACACACACACACACACACACACACACACACACACACACACACACACACACACACACACATCTATATCTATATATCTCTCTCTATATATATATATATATATATGATTCGGAATCAGAGTTTACTCAAGTGTATTAAAATGTAGTCAATGCTGTAACTTATTACAGATATTTAATTTGAAAATATCATTTTTAATAATGCCTGAATTTATACTGTATTCGGTTTTTATATGCTTTTTGATCGGCTTTTAATAGCACAGCATTTGGCACACAATCTTTTAACTGTATGGGCAATATATTTTTATTTATGGCTGTCACCGGAAGTTGCCAAGTTATATTGCTTCTGACCGCGACCCTTTCACCTCAATAGCTTGGTACTGCCCGAAAGACATGTTCCCAGGAACTAAGCTTCTGTCGTTCTTATGAAAGGTTTGGAGCTATTAGTTATATATGTTCGGATTATTCATGACCTTTAGCTTCTGTTCAGTTACAAAGAACATTTTATATAACATGAAGATATTCAATAACACGACGTTGTTGTTTTTCGATTATAAAGAATCAAAGATTGGCCCGCTTAAATGCATACGACCAAAGTTAAAAGAATGACACTTTTTTTTAAACAATAAATAATATAAAGATCTCATTTCTAATTTAATATATTCAGACCCGAAATTGATTTAAATATCAATATAAGCGTCCTTTTTGTTTCCAATTATTTTTTTACAATGATGTTCACCCCATACAACGCCCAAGAGCCATTCGATGTAGAGGTTTACAGAGTAAGAGGCACAAGTTATGCGGATATGTGGTGAAGATAACGGTTGACCTTACACTTGAACCGGTTAGGATTGTAGCGATTGGGGAAGCATCCCCTTGGGAGTCGTATATAAGTTGAGGAACGCTCATAAATATTTATCACGTTAGAGAAGACGAAGCAACACAATTCAATGTCTAATAGGCGAAAGAGAATAAATGATGTTTTATAATTTTTTTAAGCAAATTAGTATTTAAATTATTTTAGTTTTGGATAAATTTATGTCTTACATATTTTCAGTAACATAAGGTTATGGATTTAGCCGTTTTTTTAAACGATTTTATACTAATATAGGAAAAGTAGTAATCCTTTCAGGAATCGAGATATTGGAAAAAAAGTCCGGGACATAAATTTATATATAATATATAACACATAAATTTATATCAAAATATATAAAACATAAATTTATATTAAAATATATAAAACATAAATTTATATTAAAATATATAACATGAATTTATATTAAAATATATAAAACATAAATTTATATTAAAATATATAACATGAATTTATATTAAGATATAAAACACATAAATTTATATTAAAATATATAAAACATAAATTTATATTAAAATATCTAAAACATAAAATTTAAAATATA